ATATATCAGTTATATGCATGAAATGTGTGACAGATTGAAAATTTGTGGCATTTGTGAGCACGAACAAATCTTACTCGGTACGTTGGCTTATAAAATGCTTCAAATTAAGGCATATTTATCGCTTGAATGATTAGAACAAGAGTTATTAGCGAATGGGATTACAGAACGGATTACGTCTTGACGAAATCATCATCCAAATCTTCCAATCCTAATATCCGTCCATCATCTAATAAGCTTTTCCTTCTCTGGCAAACAACCGAACACCCATTTAACAATACATTTGTTATTAGTGTTTCAGTTATCTTTTAGCATTTCATTTTACTTGTTTGCTTGTAAGTTTTCACTTTTGCATGAGTTTTCTTGACGTTCTTACATATTTCATATTCATAGCTTATAATCGGTATGCTCAATTATTTTTACGGAAATGCTTCGTGAGTGGCATCATGAGATATCTGCGATGAATTAATTCAGTTGATGAGAAATGATTTCTTAAGTCAAGAAGTATCCTGAGTCCTCACTATGGCATGGTAATAATTGCTATCCAAAACAACAATCTGGTTCATTCATTGTAATAAATCATCAATTGCTGTACTCAATCCCTCAACACAATGTTAACTGTTAATCGCTATTCCTCCAAGGTCAACCCACTGGCTTCTTCGCAAAAAACAAGGCAATCATACTCGTGCAGGTGGTATCATGAACCATATACGCTTATGGTATGCAGATTAGGCAATTAGATCGGTTGTCCGAAAACATTGTTGAAAAAATCGTCAATCCCAACCGAACTAACTCAATATCATGATATTTCATCATTGTCGGGATCGTGAATTATAGTAACTTGACGAATGAAGCGACTTGTTATTGTTTGATGCGTTCATTTTCGGCAAATGTTTTTGTATACCGACGAAAATTTGGTGCAATAATGCAACATTCAGAATATGCGTTTGCGATTGATGATAAGAATTGATCTCTCATGATAAATCGAAACTGGTGCCTGAGCAGAGCATTGATTATTGATATTGAAGATATTTTTAGGGAGATTTTATATGTTTTGAATGAAACATCTGTTTGGATGGAGTAAAATGATGACGAACCCATAAGTGGACACGAGCCATTCCTTCGGGAGTGGACAGTCCGGATGAGGGCACCGGTACTTGAAGCCATCTGCCCAGCCGGAATTGCTAATGAGGGATTTGATAGACAGTCGAACAGAAATGCGGTCGTTATGAAAAGATTACCGCAAATTTGACAGACATTTTTGATGATTTGCATTGAACACATATTATTTGTTTCCGTTTGAGGATGAGGATCCATTCAACTCAATAGTCTCGTTTACGCCTTTTGAAACCAAACATTTAGATGAGATTTGCCTGTTTAGTGGAAATTATTTGAATTAAATGGAAATGTTTCGGTTGAATGAGATTTGAATCGCATAAAACGGCCGATGACCA